TTCGCCTCCGACGTTGACACGCGACGTTCCCGCACGGGCTTCGTCGTCTTCTGTTCCACGGGCCCCGTGTCCTGGAACTCCAAGCTGCAGGCCACTGTGGCCACAGCCTCCGCCGACGCGGAGTACATGGCTCTCGCAGCCACCGCACAGGAACTCATGTTCCTTCGCCAACTCCAGGAGGAGCTCACCGGCGCCGTCCTGTGCGAGCCCACGCTCGTCCACACGGACAACCAGCCGGCGCAGCGCGTTGCCGAACACGCCGCCTCGCGCATGCGGCACATCCTCGTCAAGTACCACTACATCCGCGAGTGCGTCGACACCAAGAGGATTGTGCTGAGCTACCTCGCCACGGAGCACATGATCGCAGATCTCCTCACGAAGATCCTCCCTCGGCCCAAGACGGCTCAGTTCTGCACGATGCTGTTCGACCAGCGTCCTCTGCCAGGTTGCCAGCCACGGGCCCGTCCTCATTCGGGCCGGTCGCCACGTCCTTCGACTCCGCGTCAGGACCTCTGAGCGGCCGCGCACCACAGGACACGCCTTCACTCGGGCCAGCCTTCCACAACAGGCTGCGCACCACAGGCACCAACCATTTTCTTAAACGTGTTCCACAACACACGTCCTTACTCACATCTCACCTACATCTGCCCATGCCATTCCTACATGCATGACATCATCCACATGCTCATCACGTTTCAGAACATCAACGCAACAGAGAGGTAGGTCAATGCGACCACAGCCCCGTCACACAAGTCCTGTCTGCTGAGTCATCATTGACCTCCCTTCTTCACGACACCACAACTTTGCATTTCACCTCTCTTGTGTTCTGGAATGTTCACGTGATTTCCCTCCAACCTGTTGCACGTGCAGTGTTTAGCTTGTGTGGTTGCTCGATGTTACATGCTCTTGCATAACACACCACATAACCACACAACTCTCAACAAACACTGCCACGTCACCACTTTGCGTTGTCGACAATTCTTGTCTTCTGCTCTGTTTCTTTCTGTTGGAGTGTTCATTCATCCTACATCCTTGTTTGCTTCACAACTCAAGTAAACACACACAACTTCCTCTTGCCAAGACAATCTCCCACACAACACACAGCACACTCTGCACACACACACACACACACACACACACACACACACAAGTCTCCAACAACAGCACCATCACCATGAACTTTCAACAAGGAGAGGCAGTTGGCACACATGCCAGCAGAGAGGAAGGAATGTTTGCCAACGGAAAAACCACAAAGCAGGTGTTGTTGGCAAACAAGACAAAACCACATGAGAAGGCAAATTAGGAAGCACTCAACACAAAACAGAAACTCACTGACTCTCAACATATGGTGCTCTCGATGACACCTGGGAGCCGGCAGAGTCGTTCCTTGGTGAGGGAGCTCAAAAGCTTCTTCGAGACTACGCGGCACAACATGCCATCGACCTGTCTGACCCAGGCGATACATAGCGCCGAGCGTTATCACACGCACATATGTACACACACTCTACAAAAACGTACCCATACACACGCATGCGCACATGATTGCTGGAGGGGGGTATGTTACGTCTAGCGAGGGGGAGAGTGCAATCCGTTAGAACATGTTTTGTTTGCAACCTGTCAGAACATGCTCAACCAGCTTGCTAGAGTTTTGCTTGAACGTGTTTGTACCACTGCTTGCCCCCTTTCCGTGTGCACTGTTACCTGTTGACTCTGATTCATTCATCCTTTCCTCTCGTTTACCACATCGATACAAAGTTCTCCCTTACACCAGCACCATCACCATGAGTGTGGACAGGCCAACACATCGCAACTACACAAATGCTGCGACAAACAAAACGATGTTACTTTGTGGTCAAGCGCGAAGATGGCATCAACCCCGCGTACAAAGCCAGCGGTATGGCAACGAGCAGGAAACGGCGGCCAGCCTGCTTCTGGTCCCGGGTTGAGTGCGGTTCAACCGGCCCAGCTGAAGCATCTCTCAACTCTGGTGTAGTATAGACCAAAAATAGACCAGTGCACTGTAAGTATGACATTACCAAATGTAGTCTGTGTTGTTGTGGGTACACACCAATCGGAGATGATGAACGTGACACGTGTCCTGCTTAGTGCTGGAAGGCGTGTCGGGTACACGCGAGCAGCTGTGGCTGGCTGCCGCGCGGTGAGCCGGTGCATGTCCACAGATGGCACAGGTGCCAGCGCAGCGTCGGTGGAGGTTGACACGGCCCACACCAAGTCGCACTCCTTTCAGGCAGAGACAACAAAGCTGCTGGACATTGTGGCCAAGTCACTGTACAGCGAGCGGGAGGTGTTTGTGCGTGAGCTCATCAGCAACGCAGCAGATGCACTGGAGAAGCTGAGGTACCTGCAAACGACTGGGGAGTCCATTGAGCAGCCGGACGAACCCCTCCAAATCTCCATTACCACAGACGAGGAAGCCGGCACCTTCTCCATCGAGGTGTGGTGGTATGGTTGGTGTGTGTGTGTGTGTGTGTATGTATGTTCTGTTTATCTGTGTGTTCTGTGTGTAGGTCTCTCTATGTGCGTGCGTGTGTTCTGTGTGTCTGTGTGTGTGTGTGTGTGTGTGTGTGTGTCTGTCTGTCTGTCTGTCTGTCTGTCTGTCCTCTATGTCAACCGGCCTGCCAATGTGATACTTGAACAATCTGCTTTCTGCTGCAGTGGTGTCTTTAACCCAGCGTTTCCACCATTTGTGTTCTTGGTGCACTCTTACACCTGAATGGCAACTCTTTGCCACCTAATCATGGCTCAGGATACGGGCATTGGCATGTCTGAGGAGGAGCTTGTGGAGAACCTTGGAACAATTGCGCGTTCAGGGTCCAAGGCATTCATCGAGAAACTGGGCGAAACAGCAACAGGCAACGCACAGGCGCGGGACAACATCATTGGCCAGTTTGGTGTTGGCTTCTACGCTGGTACGCAGGCGATGTGTGTGTGTGTGTGTGTGTGTGTGTGTGTGTGTGTGTGTGTGTGTGTGGATGTGGGTGGTTGCTCTTCTGGTGCTGCTCCTGCCTTTGGCACCGGCCTTGCTCCTTGTTGTACGAACGGCATTCACTCTGCATTGATGTGCAGGCTTCATGGTTGGCACTGACATTACTGTTTACTCCAAATCGTACATGCCTGAGGTTCACGGCAACATGTGGCACTCCACTGGGTACGTGCATGTGTGTGTGTATGTGTGTATGTGTGTGTGCGTGTTTCGAGGGAGCTTTGATCATCGTCAACTATTACTACGCACACTTGTAGTTCCGCTCACAGTCACCGCTATCATGTTTTACCCCCAACCTCTTCATATACACTGTAGCCATGGAAGTTACGACATTGCCCCCGCAAAGCATGTCAGACGTGGTACAAAGATTGTCATCAAGGTAACCGAGCGCGTGTGAATGTGTGTGTGTGTGTGTGCGTGTGTATGTGTGTGTATTCAGTGTGTTCGTGTGTGTATGTGTTCATTTTGATATGATGTCGGTTACGTTCATGTCATTTCTCAGAACGAATGGTGGGGGAGTTTCTTGGTTGGCATGTGTGTATGTATTGTGCTTCTTTCGTGCTTCAGCCTCAAACACACGCACACGCATACGCACACATACACACACACATATGCACGCAAACACACACACACACACACACACAGCTGCGTGATGACGCAACGGAGTTTGCCAAGGGCGACCGTGTGCAGGAGATTATCACCAAGTACAGCAACTTTGTTGGTTTCCCCATCACCGTCAACGGGTCCCGCATCAACACCGTCGAGCCCCTGTGGACACTCAACCCATCAGACATCACCCAAGAGCAGCACGAGTGTACGTCGCAGCTTTCAGCCCTGCACAGTGCTCTGCCAGCGCCACCTCTGCCGTCTGTCCATGTTGTGTGTGTGTGTGTGTGTGTGTATGCGTACGTGTGTGTGTGTGTGTGTATGCGTACGTGTGTGTTTGCCCGCTCGGTCTAGGTGCACACCCACCCACACCCACACCCACTCACACATACACACACACACACATTTCACAAATTTGTTCTCCTCTTTCTTCCACGCACAGCCTTCTACAAGTTTGTGAGCAACTCCTTCGACAAGCCCATGTACACGGTATGTATTGGATTGCCAACAATGTTGTGTGGCGTACTCTCCATATCAGAGTGCTTTTTGTTCGGCCGCGTGCGCACATAGCCAATGCTGCTGTCATCACCGATGGTGGATTCCCTCCCTTACATATGTGAGGATTGTCTTGGTTGTCTCTCGTTGTGCGTGCGTGTGCGTCCACAGATCCAGTACAGCACCGATGCGCCACTGATGATCCGCAGTCTTCTTTACGTGCCAACGGTGCGTCATAACGCGTGCCAAGCATGCTGTCTTCTTCACCTCCTTCTCCTTCTGCGTCCCTTCTGCTCCTTCTTCCTCATCAGCCCATCCTGCAACTCTTCCTTTCCTGCCACCTCACCGCCACCATCATCACCATCGCCTTCGTCGTTGGTACGTACAGATGCAGCTTGAGAAGTACGGGATGGGCCGCATGGATCCCGGCGTGTCGCTTTACTGCCGCAAAGTGCTCATCAAGAGCAAGATGGAGAACCTCTTTCCGTCGTGGCTGCGCTTTCTGCGCGGTGTTGTTGACAGCGAAGACATCCCACTCAACCTCTCCCGCGAGATGCTCCAGGTCTGAACGTGTTGGGGGTGGTGCCAAGGCATCTGTTATTTGTGCATGTGTGTTTGCGTGTGTTGGGGTTGGGTGTGGGATGTGGACGTTGACGTCATGGGTTTTGTCTCATTTCTCTCCTCTCCTCACTCACTCACACACTCACTCACACACACACACACTCACTCACTCACTCACTCACTCACTCACTCACTCACTCACTCACTCACTCACTCACTCACTCACTCACTCACTCACTCATTCACTCACTATGACACTATGACCACACTTATGGCGACGACAACCGTCCTTGCTACCTGACCCCCCCCCCCCTCGCTCGCAGGACACGGCGCTGATCCGGCGCATTGGCGACATCCTCACGGGCCGCGTGATCAAGCATCTCGAGCGCCAGAAGACCGCAGACCGCGCCGCTTACACCACTTTCGCCACAGAATACGGTCGGTCGCTGGAGACGCCAGCTGCGTATGCGTGTGTGTGTGTGTGTGTCTGTGCGTGTGCATGTGTGTGTGTGTGTGTGTGTGTGTGCGTGTGGGTGAGGGAGTGAGTGAGTGAGTGTATGTGTGCAAATGTGAGAACTGAAACAAGTTACACTTGTACGAGCAAGCACATGCGTGAATGCTGTGCCCTTTGCTGTCCGTGTTGTTGTTTCGAAGCCCCACCTCACTGTCCTCATTGGTGCTGTCATTGTGCTCATTTGCACGTTATCACAATGGCCAGCGTCGTTCCTGCGTGAGGGCGTGTGCACGGATGACCGCAACAAGGTGCGGCTGACTGACAGCCGACCTTGGACAACGGATAGGCGATGCCTGTTATTTGCTTTGCGAGTGTCTTGAACGCCTCGATGTCGGTGCTCACGACATCACACATCACACATCACACACACATCACACAGGCTGCGATTGCGAAGCTGCTGCTGCTGCAAAGTTCCACGCAGGATGAGAGCGAGATGACGACCATCCCGGAATACATTGAGCGCCAGTCCTCTGCCACCGATGGCGACGAGACGAAGAAACAGGAGGCGGAGAAGGACCCCGTGTACTACGTGCTGGCACCGAACCGTGCGGCAGCGCTCGCATCGCCGTACATGGAGACGATGCTGGCGAACAACAAGGAGGTGCTGATCATGAACCACCCGCTGGACGTGTTTGTTGTCGAACATTTGATGGAGCTTGATGGCCACAAGCTCGTTTCCATCGAGTCGTCAAAGGTAAACCACCCACTACCCTGTACACGTGCAATTGCTCTGTGTGTGTGTGTGTGTGTGTGTGTGTGTGTGTGTGTGTGTGTGTGTGTGTGTGTGTGTGCGTGTCGGTGTGTGTGCGTGTCGGTGTGTGTGTGCGTGTATGTGCGTGTCTGTGCGTGCGTGTTTGTGTTTCGTGCTTAATGTGCTGGGATGCACGTAGTTGGGGTTTGTTTCTTCATTGTTCGTAATACACACCTTCGTCTCAAAACTCGTGCTATTGTTTGGGCACCCACTCTGCACCCTGTTCTTGAACCTCACAGGTGTCCAACGAGTCGGACGAAAAGACTGCGCTCTCCGAGGTATGCTTTGCACGACAAGTGCCAGGAATATTCCGTTGATGCCACTGTGGCACATGCTTGGGTCTTGTGTTCTGGCCTCGTCTGTCACACACACACACACTCTCTCTCACCCACTCACTTACACACACACACTCACACACTCACACACTCACACACACTCTCTCTCTTACTTCCATACACATTCTCACTCACTCACTCACACACACACACACACGCACGTGCACGCACACATTCTCTCACTTACGCACACTAATCCGGACTGCTGTTCTGTTGCCGCGCCATTGGCGCTCCTGGCAGGATGAAGTTGTTGGCTTGAAGGCGTTCTTCGAGTCTGCGCTCTCCAAGGACAAGCTGGCCGAGCTCAAGGTATTTTACGGGCGCATGCGTTGACGGTGGGGCGGGACTCGTGTGGTATTGCTGTAGGCGGACGCAAGGCTGCATTGTTGCGAGACGCGAGTGCGACTGCGCTGCGGTTGACCGTGTTTGTGCACGTCTCTTAACAGCATCACACACTTGCACACATACACATACATTGCCCTTTGTTTGCGTTGTCTGTGCACCAGATCTCCACGCGCCTCACGTCGTCGCCAGCCATCGTCGTCGACCACGAGAGCGCGGGCCGCCGCAGGTGCGGTCCTGTCGTGCGTGGATGCACGGGTGTAGGGGCATTCAAATGCTGTGCACGTGCTGTGGGATATGGTGTTGTGATGCTCGTTTTCCTGCTCGCGCACATGCCCACCAACCTTCACATTCCTTCTCTTGCCTTTCGTTCTCCATTCTCCTTTCCATCACCCTCACAACCTTCACCACCACGGCCACTGCGGCCACGACCACAACACCAGGCTGATGCGGATGATGAGCCAGGAGCAGGACGACGGCACGCTTCCGCTTCCACCGCAAACACTCGAGATCAACCCGACGCACCCCATCATCCAGGGCATCAACGCGGCACGGTGGGGTGACTGTAGCTGTGGCGGTGGTTGCTGATGCTCGTGGGCTTGTGCTGATGTTGATGTCGGTGGTTGGTGGGCGGTCAGTTGTGGTTACATTGCGACTTGACACAAAAAGTCACATCAGGTCACCTCATCGCATACTTGACCATCCGTGCTTCCGTGCAGGTTGGGCAGTGATGACGATAAGGCGCGTGGTCGCGTCGTTGCAGCACAGGTCTTCGACAACGCCCTCATCGCCGCCGGCCTCATGGAGGAACCACGGTGAGCAGCCGCATATGATGTGTTTGTTTTGTTGTGTTGCGTGCGTGCGTGTGTTGTGTGTGTGTGTGTGTGTGTGTGTGTGTGTGTGTGTGTGTGTGTGTGTGTGTGTGTGTGTGTGTGTGTTGTCGACCTGTGGTCTGTTCACTTTCCTCGCCTTGTCTCTCTCAAGCTCACGCCGCGTCCTGTCAACACTTCACCTCCTCCCCCTCCCCTCCTTTCAGGTCGATGATGGATCGCCTGAACGAGCTCTGCGTCCTGGCCCTCAACCGCAGCCCAGACAGCACAGCAACAACAACAACAAAATGATGTTGTGCGCGCAGTGAAACCACCGTTTTGCAGGCACCGTCGCACATCATCGTTGATGCTTGTTTGCTTTTGTCAACACATCACCTCGAGTTGCATTGCCATACACAACAAGCAACCAGCAACGAGGGGGCTTTTATGAACGGAAAAAAAAAGGCTGTGAGGCCACAACAAACAAACAAACAAACACAGAGACACACATGTGCGCGCGACGAGACAATGCTCAGCCACGCCTTCATGCCAGCACTTTGTCCACAAAGTCCTCGTAATCGAGAGGATCCGCTTCTCCGGCCAACATGTCGGAGATCTAGAGAGTGCACAACCATGTAATCGGCGTTGGTATGTGAGGTACAGCAACGAAGGAGGGTGGAATGGTGTGAAGGTGGCAGCGCAAACGGGAACACGCACTCCTCTCCAATGTGCTCTTCCGCACCCAAACACACACACACACACGCGCCTGTGCTTCGTACCTCCTGAGGTGTAAGGCCGTCTCCGAGGTTACTCAGGATGTACTTCAGATCAGCTATGAGAGGAATGGCAGGGTAGTGATGTGGCGTTGAATTGGGGAGGAGGTGAGTCAGCGGTGTTGTCAGACAAACACACACACACACACACACACACACACACACACACACACACACACAAACACACAAACACACACAGACACAGACACACACACACACACAAACACACAAACACACACAGACACACACACACACACGCACGCGCGTGCGCACACACACACACACACACACACACACACACACAAACACACACACACACACAAACACACAAACACACAAACACACACAGACACACAAACACGCTTTCGTACCATGTGAAATGGTGCCAGTGTTTGCTTTGTCATGGGCGCGGAACGCGTCCAAGATGTCCTCACGAGCCTGGAATGGACCAGGGCACTTGGCCAACACCTCCAAGAACTGTGGCAATGACAACTCCTCAGCCCCTTGAGACAGCTCCTGTTGAGCGTGATGAACAGCAAGGTCAGGAGGGCGGCAGATGGTCACATGCATCATACACACACGCACTCATTGGCACACACACACACAGACACACATCGGCACACACACACATACACACATTGGCACGTACACACACACACACACACACACACACGCACAGTCGTACCTCGACTTCTTGTGGGGTGGGATTTGCGTTGAGAGAGAGAAGCACCGTCAACAACTGGTCCTTGTGCAGTTTGCCAGTTGGCGCGTAGATGCTGAAGCACTCACGTGCCAGCGAAATCTAATGTGGGCACATCAGGTGACGTGAGGTGCGTTGACAATGAGGCAACCATACAACAAGCAAGCAGACGGAAAGCTCCATGTACCTCACACCACGTCCACTCACACCACACCAAGGCGTCCACTCATAGACTCATCCACCACCCGTGCCATCCACCCACCTGCTCTTCGTCCAACAGCTCAATCGCAGACATCGTTCGTTGTTGTTGTTGTGATTTTGGAGTAATGGTGAATATCTTCATTCACTTTTCCTAATGCTGAGGCTGGCATCTGTGTGCGTTTTGGTGAAGAACGCACACGAGCGATCGATCCGCTGCGCTCTGCTGCTTGCAGGCTTGCATGCACTAGGCCTGCTTCCCTCCGAGCCTCCCTCCGGTCTTGCTGGTTTGATTTCAAGAGCAAAACTTCTCTGCTCCCACGCTTCGACAGAGAGAGGAGCTGAGAAGGCTGTCTTTCTCAGCCTGTCTGTTCTGCTGGTGCTTCCGCTGCCGTCCACTCCGAGACCTGCTCACAATGGCGGTGGCAACTCCTGTTCTTGTTGTGCTGGTGCTGGTGATGCTTGTCGTCGCCAGCACAAAGAAGAGCATCAACGTGCATGCAAGCTCGACGACGTCCGAAACTGTACATCCGGCCATACCTCTGAGGCCACTGAGGCCACAAGGCGACCAGGTATGTCTCTCTTTTTTTTTTGTGTATGTGTTTGTGTGTGTGCGTGTGTGCGTGTGTAGGTGCATGTGTGTGTGTGTAGGTGTCTGTTTGTGTATGTGTGTGTGCGCGTGTGTGCGTGTGTGTGTGGTTACATACTTGTCGTTGTGGCATGCGACGGTGCAATCGAAGGGGTGCTTAGTCGATCGCCTTGTTGTTTGCTCCTCACTTGCGCACACACACGCACACAGGCACACACTCGCATACGCTCGCGTTCGTCTCACATGCATGCAACACATCACATCACACTTTGCACAGCTGTGTTTGGACGTGCACGGGACACTGGAGAGCATGGTGCATGTGCTGAGGCTGCACGATGTGCCATTTTACCCCAAGCACACTGCGCGCAACACGGACGACAGCACGCCTGCAAACACAACGACGCACAAAGACGCACGGCTGCCTCTGCCTTTGCTTGTTGACCTGTCTCCGATTCACCGCATGATGGCTGCGTTTGGATGTGGCGATCAAGAGGACGAGAAGACGGACAAGCAGACTGATGAGAGCTTGCCTGCAAGGACTGGCACAGAGCAACACGAGACGATACCACCAGTGCCATCGACACCATCAGCATTCACGCCTTTGGAAGAGAGGGTGACCGCTATCCGCAACGCGACAGGCAACTTATCCCTGCAGCACCAGCAACAACAGCAGCAGAGGCGAGTGCGGCGGAACGGCGACCCTGTCGTACAGGCTGGGCAATGCACGCTGGCGAGCGTGGTCAATGGCACGTGCCCTGGTGCGGATAGCAGCCGCCGGCTCACCATCACTCTGCGCGAGGATGATCACGTGGACGACAGCACGGATGCAAGCGGTCTGAGGGGTATTTCTGACTCCGTGAATGAGCTGACCGTGAACGGGCACGTCGAAGAAGCGCCGTTGCGGTGGATTGTGAATAACGGCGTGTGGGCCTCGTGCACGGCAGTGAATTTGCAAGGCGTACAGTTTCCCACTCTTCAGTTGAGCACGCTCAACCCGATGACACGCACTCTTACTATCACGGTTAGTGACAGCGTGCTGCTTCGGGCAATAGGCGCCGATGACTTCCACCACACGGCAAGACTCACTGCCTTTCGCGCAATCAACAATTCCCTCACATCCGTTCCAGACGTTTCGAACATGACATCGCTGAGCATCCTCAACTTGCACGGAAACCGAATTCGTTGCATCAACGATGACACTTTCAACGGGCTGACATTGCTGCAACAGCTGTTCTTCAGTGAGAACATCCTTTCCGAGATCGAGTCGCGAGCGTTTGATGACCTCACTGCCCTGAATAGGCTGATCCTTGCCATTAACGACATGAGCGCCATCCCTTCCGGCTTGTTCCATCGTCTCACGAGCCTTACCACGTTGCAACTGCAGCAAAATCCAATCACGAAACTCGACGCCGATGTATTCGCGCAGCTGACCATGCTGGAGCGGCTCACCCTCGAGCGCACGCTTCTCACCCAATTACCAGCCACACTGTTCCGCAACACCACCCGTCTTGTTCGCCTTGACTTGGCAATTAACTTCATCACGTCCCTCGATGAGACAGTCTTCTCTGGCCTGTCATCGTTGGAGCATCTGCAGATTTTCGACAACCGACTGACATCACTGCCACCAGGCGTGTTCAAGGACTTGACGACGTTGACGTGGCTTGGCATTCTTAGGAATGATTTAACTTCCTTGCCTGACAAATTGCTTGAGTTCAATCCGCAACTCCGCACGTTCTTCTGCAACGACAACGACCTCGCTTCCCTCCCAGCCAACCTATTCGTGAACAACGCAGCCCTGTTTCGGATCAACCTTGCCAACAACGCCCTTCGCTCCATCGACACCGCCCTCGAATCAGCGAAATTGTCATCCCTGCAGTTTCTCGATGTGGGGAACAACCAACTTACACGTCTACAGCTCACCAGAACACTGCCCTCCCTGACCCTTCTCGGCCTTGACGACAACCCGATGCAGGAGCTGCCAGATGTCACGCTCACGCCTTCCCTTGAAACCCTCCGGCTCCAAAACCACGGAATCAAACACATGGACTTGGCCCCAGTGCTCCGTCTGCCCAGCCTCGAGGTGCTCGAGCTTGACGCTCTCCTACAAGCGAATTCCAGGGCGGTTTTGACAGACACGAACATCACCAGCATTACGCGGTTGTCAACCCTGAGTCTGGAGAATGTGGACGTCAGTGCTGCGGTCCCATCATTCAAGCAGCATCCACCGCTAAGTCTCAATGTGCTGCACGTGGGCTGGCCGGGCGCCATGAACCGCACGCTTCCAATCACTGAGGTGTGCAGAATGCTGAAGAACAGTGTGCGTGAGCTGCGCATCGCCAACACAGACTACCGAGCCATTGAGCTGTGCCCTGACAAGACTTTCGAGTCACTACTTCTCAACGACAACAGGCACCTACGCTCTGTCACCGTCCACAACCCTCTGCGTGAACTCAACGTGTCAGGTTGCACCCAGCTCACTTCCATCGACGCGCCTCCAATCGACATCCTCGACATCAGCAACACCAAATTCCCGCCAACGGGCGCGCTGTGCACACGGTGGGGACGACGGGTCCTCTTCGCCCGAAAGTTGGATGAGAAGGCCTTCAACTCCATCCGTACGGTTGGAGCGCTCACAAACTGCATCGACCAAGTGGATGTGCTGGATCTCTCGGGCAACACCTGGCTTAACAATCCAGCAGAGATCAACCGCGTGGCGGAGAGAAGAGTTGTCATGTCCGACGAAGAGTTCTGGACAGCCGATCTTGTTGCCATTCCAAACCGGCGTGTTCCTCCCATTCTCCAGCTGACCGATGCGCCCATCGACTGCGCACTCCACCTGTCCAACCAGGACTTGCGCCCCCGCACCGATACATCCGTGTTGACCACAGAGATTGTGTTTTCCTTCCGCTGCGTCTGTGCACAGGGTCACCACCTGAGCGGCAATGGCGAATGTGTTGAGGATGTCGTGCCCTTGGCAGCCATCGTGGCGGGCTCCGTATTCGCTGTCCTTGCACTTTCGATCCCGTTGCTGGTCTGGCTCTACCGCCGCTACTGGCGCTCCCACAAGAGCGACAGCCTGCACCAGCAGCTGTTGAACCGAGAGAGGGAGGAGGTGCAGGCGCTGAAGCGGGCGTGGGTGATTGAGTACGATGAGCTGAGGATGATCAAGCGTGTTGCTGCGGGTGCTTATGGCGTGGTGTTTAAGGCCGAGTGGGACACGGTGACGGTGGCGGTGAAGGTGCTGCAGCGCACGCTGTCTGTCGATGATCGAGAAACCGCCAATGATATCGGTAACGAGGTGGAGTTCCTGCAACGGACACGGCACCCGAACGTGGTGCGGTTCTTTGGTGCTGGCGTGAACACGAATGGCAGCCCATTCCTGGTGCTGGAGTTTGTGGCAATGGGGTCGCTCAAGGACCTGTTGGAGCGAGACATGGACGCGGTGCTGCATGAGGTGCGGGCTCAGGTGCTCGAAGCCGGCGATGATGATGATGATGACGATGGCGATGGCGAGAAGAACAAGTTACTGGGGGCAGATGTGCACGAAGAATTGACCCTCGTGAGCACATCGCTTGAGAGCCACCGCACCAGCTTGGAACTTGATGAGATGATGAGTGTGTGGGACTTGAAGCTGCAGCTGCTTCGTGACGTTGCCAACGGCATGGCATTCATCCACAGCCTCGACCAGATGCACCGGTGAGTGGGATATGTGTGTGTATGCTTTTGTGCTTGTGTGTGTGCTTGTGTGTTTGTGTGCGGGCACGTGCTTCTTGCTCACTGCGCGATCCTACCCTCACCGATTGTTCTCACCACACACACACACACACACACACACACACACACACACACACACACACACACACACACACACACACATACACACAGCGATCTGAAGAGCGGCAACGTGCTGGTGTCCTCGCGGCTGCGGGCGAAGATCACGGACTTTGGATCCATTCGCGAGTGTCTCGAGCGAGGAACGGACGGCAACGATGATGATGATGGTGACGTGGAGGATGGCAACAGAGGCGATGGCACTGCAACGACGTCGTTTGGTGATGGTGGGCGCGGTGACATGACGATGGGTGTTGGCACGCCCATGTACATGGCGCCAGAAGCGCTGCTGACCAAGACGTACAACGCCAAGGCGGACGTGTTCAGCTTTGGCGTGCTCATGTGGGAGGTGGCGACGCAGCGGGAGCCAGACCTGATTGCACAGGAGAAGCCCAAGTACCGCGGGCCACCACGGCCCATGCAGACGACGCTGCTGCAGGAGGGCAAGCGCCTCCGCTTCGAGGACTTTGGTCAGTGGAACGTTGTGTGTGTGTGTGTGTGGGGGGGGGGGGGGCTGTGTGTGTGTGTGTGTGTGTGTGTGTGTGTGTGTGTGTGTGTGTGTGTGTGTGTGTGTGTGTGTGGCTGTGTGTGTGTACGTGTGTCTGTTTGTGCGTCTATCTAAACAAGCACACGCACGCGAAATGCGTTTTGCTTCGTTTCCCACACCCCATTACTGCAGCATCTTGCCACTCATCTCCCTCACTCGTCCTCTTCTCTATTGTTTCAAACAGACGGCCAGCCGCTCGCTGTTGCCGAGTGGTACAAAGAGCTGGCGTACACGTGCATGGCAGACAACCCAGCCCACCGTCCAAGCTTCGAAGAGCTCAAAAACAAACGCCTGGCGGAACAGCAGGCCGTATGACTTGCGATGGCTTGATGGTGTGCGTGCGCTGTGAGCATGAACGGCACCACGTTGCATGTGTGTGCTTCCGCGTCGTTACGTAGCTGAGATTGACCCATAGCAGTTATTTTGTTGTTGTTATGTGCTGACCAAATAGGTAGTAGTGCGTTCGTTACGATGGCTTACATGTCCCTTCCAGTGTGACTCTATTGCTTTGGTTCCGTCGTCGTTTATTCACTTTGCTTGAGACTAGTAACAACTGGGGTGCCAAATCATAAAACTTCCAACAATGGAACGAGCGACACCAAAGCTACGAACGGACAACAATCTACTGTAAATGCAATCGGTGCAAGCAAGCATGGCCTAAGCAAAGTGGTGGTCCTTGAGTTCTCCAAACGACGGGCGCTCACGCGGGTTCTGCGCCATGCACTTGTACGTCAGCGACTGGAACCACTCGGGGAAGGCTGTAGGGATAGGGGAGGGGGGTGAGTGGGGAGAAAAGATGCGTCAGTAACCAATCCACACACACACACACACACACACACACCCCTACATTCACAAACTCACCACCCGTTTCGTCGAACTTGAGCCGCTTGCCCTCCATCAAGAGCTCTGTGATTGCAGGAAGCAGTGGTCCCCTGAAGTCGCTCCCCTTCTCCTGCTCAATCAGATCCGGTGGTCGCTGCGTCGCCACCTCCCACATCAGCACGCCAAAGCTGAAGATGTCGGCTTCAAAGCTGTACTTGTCGCCCGTCAATGCCTCTGGTGCCATGTATAGCGGCGTGCCCACGCCAGCCGTCAGCGTCACGCTCGTCATCGTCTGCAGTCCAGTGCGCTGGCTGTATTGCGGATTATCGTCAGCTTGGCTGGACGACAGGCGAGTGTGGCCGCTGCTGTGGGCTCTGCCTCCACGCGTAAAGCACTGGCGAATGGATCCGAAATCCGTAATCTTGGCGCGCAGCGATGATGACACCAGCACGTTTCCGCTCTTCAGGTCTCTGTTGAGGTGGTGTTGATGAGGGGGGTGAGGCTTGGATGGGCAATGAGCAACAAGCACGTGCCTGCATGCAAAAACACACAAACTTACACACACACACACACACACACACACACACACACACGCACACACACACACACAAGCAGATACAGACACACACATACTCACCGGTGCATCTGGTCGAGGCTGTGGATGAAGGCCATGCCACTGGCAACATCGCGCAGCAGTCGCAGCTTCAAGTCCCACACACTATTCACATCATCACCGACACCGCCGTTGCTGCTTTCCTCGACCTTCCTGCTCCTCACTTCCATCAACACCCCCTCCAAGTCCTTCCCCAACAGATCTTTGAGTGACCCCAGAGCAACATACTCCAGCACCAGGAACGGGCTGCCGTTGGGATCGGTGCCCGCGCCAAAGAACCGCACTACATTCGGGTGCCGTGTTCGCTGCAAAAACTCCACCTCCTTCTCAAACTCAAGCACCGTGCTCTCGTCAAATGCCATGACGGCTTGCTGCAACACCTTCACCGCCACTGTGACTGTGTCCCACTCTGCCTTGAACACCACGCCAAACGCACCCGCAGCCACCCGCTCAACAAGCCTCAGCTCATCGTACTCAATTTCCCATGCCTTCTTCAGCGCCATCACCTCCTCGTCTCGTTCCACCAACAGCTGCTCCTGTAGGTCGATACGCTTGGTGAGCCCACGGTAGCGGCGTGACACCCACGCCATGAGCAGGCCAAGGGCAAGGCCGCCAATCACAGAGCCAGCAGCAATACCGGCAATGTCTGGCTTGTTGAGCTCACACCGCCCACGCGAGGTGGCCTTGTACCCGCGCGCACAGGTGCAGTGGAACGCGTACACGATGCGATTCGTGACGGCGTTGTGACCCCCCGACACACGCAGGTCCATGTTGGTGATCTGTATCGCACAGGAAATTGGCGTCCCCTGCAGCTGCAAGATGGGTGGCACTGGCCTGTTCTCCAAGGTGACGAGGTTGGTGGTCAGAAACAGCTCCTCAGACAGCGCAACCTCCTCTCCAATCGCCAAGTTCACCTCCCCAGGGTTGTCGAGCCAGGTGTTGCCCGAGAGATCCACCACATCCGACGTGAGCAAGCACGCGCCGAGTGCCGCGGCAGCATGCTGCGGGTCCACGTGCTGCTCGTCCATGTCGCGCGCAAACACAACACGCCGCCCCCACCGCCTGCACAGGGACGCACGAGGCTCCACGCGCGTGCGACTGATGTCCAAGACGTCAATCGATGGCGCGTCAATGTGCGCCAGATGCGTGCAGTCGGATGCGTTGAGCTCCACCACAGCCGTGGACATCGTGACGGACATCAGATTTGGGTTGTCTTGGATGAGCACCGTGTGGAAGGTCTTGTTCGCGCACGTGTCCAGCATCGTAAACTGGGTTGCCGTGATGCGCAGCAACACCACAGCATCCGCCAGCACGTCACACACCCACGCCCTGGGCAGTGATGTCTCTGTTGCACCTGGCCAGCCAACGCCGAGCACATCCAGCTGAAGCGGTGGCATATTCGGAATGGCACCCGCAAGGTCGACATGTGTTGCGCTGAACGTATGCAGGCGTGGCGGTGCTGTCGGCGTGTCTCTGCTCACCACCGCCTTGCTGTTGATGCCAGGGGCCGCGTCAATCTCCAGCACGCGCAGGGAGGGGAAGCTGAGCAGCAGGGCAAGGTCAATGTGCGGCATGCGGTGGCCCTGCATACGCAGCTCTTGCAGTAGCGGCAGCGAATCAGGGTCGATCAAAGCCGGCAAGCGCTGCATGGGGTTGTTGCTGATGGCCATCTGGATGAGAACGGGCAAGGTGGCGTTGAGGTTCACCCGCGTGAGCATGTTCGCCTCCAGGTCAAGAAACTGCAGCCTGTTGGTGAAGAAGAGGTTGTCGACAGACTGGATGGCATTGTTGTCGAGGTGAACCTGCAACAAGTTGCGCGTGCGTGCGAACAGCCGCGGTGGCAGCGCCGTGATGCGGTTGCGGCTGATGAAGAGCGTGTTCAGGTTCGTGCACGCGTCAAACAGGCCTTCGGGCAGCGAGGTGATGCGGTTGTTGCTGAGAAACAGGATGGACAGGGTGGACAAGCCACGGAAGAGGGCGGGCGGCAGCGACGTCAGCATGTTGTCGTGC